CCAAGCGCAGCAGAGGAAGGAGGCTGAGCAGAGCCTGGAAGTGAAGAACAGAGAGTACTTAGAGGCTGTAGCCAGGCTGGAGCGGGACAAAGATGACCTACGGAGAGGTACAGTGCTGTTCCCAGCATCCCTTCCCAGGCCTGTGGGTATTTGCAGGAGAAGCATGGAGTCTGTGCTCAAATCTTGATCCCACCATCATCAGCAGGGCTTTTGCCACTGATTTTGGTAGGCGCTGGGGCTGTTCCCCGCTGTAAAACTAGCCCCAGACAGCTGGAGCTGGTTGTCCACGTCCTCTCACTGCCTCCTCCCTGCTGAAGCACGGCGCGATACAATCACTGGATGAAAAATGCTGTGGTGCAGCCGTTTGCTTCCTCCTTGTTTTAGTTTCTTTGAGGAGCTGTTTAATGTTTAGTAGTGGTTTTGTGCTGATTTAGGAGCTGCTCTGCTGGAAGAGCGACTCTCTGCCTTAAAGGAGGAGCTGGTGGCGAAGCAGGCTGCTGTGCAGGAGCTGGGTAAGGACCCCTGGGGCTCAACCAGCTGGCGCATCGCTCCCCCAGTCTTGCCCCGATCTCCCGAGTGTTTTACACCCACGTAATGCCCAGTTCCCCCAGAATCGGTTGGGTATAGTGCTGGTGGGAATGGGGGGAGGACGAGCCTCCTTTATTACAATGCTCAAACATCACCCAGCACCTTTGCGGGCTCATGCTGGGAGATTTGGGGGGGTCGCAGCCCTCCTGTCAGACCTGCCTCCCCCTCGCCAGGCCCTGTGGAGGGTGTAGGACCCCTTCAAACCACCTTATCTGGGAGCTTCTCCCCCTCCTGCCCAGCCTGGCCAAAGGTGCTGTGTCTCCCCAGAGGTGACCAAGACGACCTTGCTGGAGGAGATGAGGACAACGATGGTGGCCAAGAGCCGGGTGCTGGAGCTGGAGGAGAAGGTGCAGCTGCTCACCGGCCAGCGGGAAAGCCTGGGCCAGGAGCTGAGCACCACTACCACCCAGCTGGAGAAGGAGAAGGCCAAAGTGGAGAGCATGCTGAGGCACGAGGAGGTATGGCCGGGCGGGCTCTCCCCCTGCTCTGCAGCCCCACAGCGTGCTGTGGGAGGAGGCTGAGCCCGTGGGCACTGCTGCCCGGTGTAAGGGCGCCGGTGAACGGGTGCAGCAGCAGCCCCAGGCAGGCTCGCCTGCCCTGTACAGTCCCTGCAGGCCAAGCAGAGGGCCCTGCTGCAGCAGCTCAACAGCCTGGACCAGGAGCGCGAGGAGCTGCAAGCTAGCCTGGGAGAAGCCGAGGAGGACAAGGCCAGGCTGGCAGAGCAGCTGGAGGAGAGCCGGCAGCAGAGCGGGCAACAGCTACGGGCGCAGCAGGTCAGTGCTGGCAACCAGCGTGCATCCGGGGGGCTGCAGGGAGCGGGGGTCCCCGGGGAGCAGCTGGTGTGGGACACGGTTGTGCCATAGGGGTGTCAGGAGCCACCCACTGCCCTGTCCCCCACCCATAGCCAGCGTTTTCCCAGGAGAGGGACTCTGGGACTCGGTGTGACATTGCCACGTGTCCATCTCCTCCCGGGATCCCGTGGGGAAGACCTCTCTCCCACCTGGACAAGTCTCTGCAGGGCACTCTGCAAACCTCACCCCCTCTCTGCTGTGCCCCACAGGAGCTGCTGGATGCTCTGCAGCAGGAGAAGCTGAACCTGGAGCAGTCTGTCTCAGAGCTGCATGCCAACGTGTCCAGGCTGGAGGAGCAGGCGCGGGAGCTGAAGGAGCGGGAGAGGCTCCTGGTGTTCTTCCCCGAGCTCCACATCCCCACCGAGACGCAGTTTCAGAGTAAGGGAGAGGGCAGCAGCGCTGGTTGTGCCCTCGGGGTCTCCCAGAGCTCGCAGGGGATCCTGCCGGCCCTGGACGCACCAGCATTATTTGTACGACACCGTTTCTTCCACTAATAGCCAGGAAGGGCTGTGCTAAGCGCTGCCATCTTTACACACCTCCCTACGTGGATGCTGTTCGTCCCACTTCTGCTCCAAGAAGCAAAGCAGTGCCAGGACACAGGCAGAGCTTTGTTTGCCCTCACAGCTACAGCTGGCACCGTTTTGGGTCCCAGCTGCCACCTCCCAGGCTGCACTGGTGCTCCCTAGTTGGTGCAAACTCCTTTCCAGCAGGCAGCCCCCCTGCTCGGGAGCGAGGAGGGCTGCTGCCAACACCTCCGAGCAGGCAGGCAGCAGCGGGCTGAGCTCCGGCTCCTGCCGCAAGGCTGTCATATTTTGTTTGCAGGCACCGGGAACTTGATGGAGGATATGGAGAAGCAGCTGCAGGCCAACAGCATCCGGATCAGCGTGCTGGAGGAGGAGAACGCGCGGCTCAGGTCCACGCTAGCCAAGGTGAAGGCGGCTGCTGAGCAGGGCGTGCTGAAGGTGAGGCCGCACTCAAGGCAGGGCGAGCTGGGTGCCATCAGGGAGAGGGGCGCACACGCCAGCGGAGTGCTGCGTACCCCAAGACCACCCCCGTGTCCCCTGGCACTGTCCCACATCCTCTGGGGACTGGTTCCCTTGCAGGGAAGGCTCCGGGGAAGCAAAAGGCCGTGGGGCTCCTCACACAATGTCCTCTGCAAGTCAACAGCTGCTCTCCTAGCCTGCACGGGGCTGAGCTCCAGGGCCTGGGCTTCTGTGCAACTGGGAGATCAGTCTGGTTTAACTGGTGTTGGCAGGGAAAGCTGCTTGGCTAGGGTGCCTAGAGCTGGCTCCCAGCTCCTTTATATCAGCCCCATTGTGGCTGTTGTGCCACCAAGGCCACTGCCACCAGCTCAGCGGTGAAAGCCACCAACAGCAGAGACTGAGGTGTGTGGCTGGAGCTGAGTGCAGAGAGGGGAAATTTCACGCCCTTTTCTCTTCCCCAGCTCATCCCGCAGACCCAGCTGTGGCCTCAGCTCAGCAGCCAGGACGCAGGGTGAGTAGGAACCCAGAGGAAGAGGCTGGGGAGCTTCCCTCTTCTTCCTCCCCTCTCACCGCTCCCACCACCCGCAGGCGGCCGAGCAGCCGAGGCAGCAGGGGCAGCACAGGGACGCACGGAGCTGCAGGCGAGCCCCAGCAGCGAGCTCCCAGCAGCCAGCGGTCAAAGCCGCTCTCGGCAGAGTCCACAGGCAAGGCCGGACCCTGCCTCTCGCTCCCAGCTGAGGGACTGGTGCTCAGCCCCCCCGAGCCACGAAGGAGAGGCAGGACACTCCCCCTCTCCTCTCACCCCACCGGTGGCCACCGTAAATAAACGCTCATGAGATTAACGCAGAAATGAAGAGCTCCGCAAGCAGCCACCTGCCCTGCCCCTGTGGGACCTTGTTACCCGTTCTTCATGCACCATGAAGGCACCTTCCCTTGGGAAACCCAGTCTCTCTGCCCATCCCATCGAGCCCGCACGCCGTGGGCGTAAGAAGCCCAGGGAGACGGTCCCCGCAGTGGCTTTGTCAAGGCTCAGCTACCAGCCAGCCTCCGGCTGTTGCTTTGTTTTGTTTTCCGCAGGACTGCAGCACCGAACAGCAGTTTCCCCTGTTGGCTCTCTCCGTTGGGCAACGCTTTGGTTTGTGGCAACAACCGAGAGTGACGGCGCAGAGGGCTGGGCTGGCGTGGCCCCCTCTCTCCTCCCTCAGCGCAGCGGCTCCGGGAGAAGCCCTGATGCAGGGACCAGGCCGGGACTGGCTTTCCCCAGCCTGCAGCCAGGGGAGGGACCCGCAGCGGGCGAGAAAACCTTGGGGAGGGGGAAACGCTCCCCGGCTGTGCAGAGCTGCCCCTGCAGAGTCAGCTGAGCAGGGCCAGGGAGGTTCCTGGGCACTGGAGCTCGGTCAACCATGGCTAAGCTGCTGCTGGAGTCCCTGGCACGGGTCTGACTGTGCCATCAGCTGAACAACGCCTGGGCACCATGCGATTTTGCTCACGCCAGGAAATGCGACTGTGATGTGGCCACGTTGCTTTTGAAGAGGAAGGCAAACCTGGGCTGGGGATGAGGAGTTCA